TTTCTTCCTCTAAAAAGGCGACAGTTCTTCTACTTGGGCAAACATTCGATTTATGCCCTTGTCCTCCACAATGAAAACACTTGTTAAGAGATGGTTTTTCATAAGGATTACTTTGTTTCTTACTGAAGCTTTACCTTGATGAGTAGTAGTACTAGAATTACCAACTCCTTTGTTCCCATGGTTAGATTGCTTGGTCGTTGCACTCTTCTCCTTATCTTCGGTTGATTCAAGATCATCTTAATTAAGTTGCGACTTCTCCATTAATTCAGCTTTCAAAGTTAGACTAGAAGTCTCTTGCACCGTCCATACAGTTTGCAAACCCATCTTCTCTTTTGTAAAACTTTTTAAACCATTGATGTATCAGGTTACCTTTTGGTTCTTTGTCTCTCCTAGGTCATTGCGTTCAGAGAAACGTAGGAACTCGACTGTGCACTCTGTCACAGTCCTCTTGCCTTGAACACAATCAAGGTACATCTTGTAGAGAATCTGCTCATAGTCTTCTGGTAAAACCGCTCCAACATCAACTGTTTCATACAGCGCATGACTGGCCCTTTTCTTTGTCTCTACCTGTGAAGAACAAGTTTATCCCACCATACAGCAACAATTTTCTTCAGCCTGATTGCTAGCATCTTAACTTGCTTACTCTCTCTCTGATACCACTTGACGCAGTCAGAAAACCCTAGGAAAAGCAAGCGCTAAACCTAGATCGAATTCAAGTTCACGAGCGATGAATTTGAAAAATAAAGCTTTGGAAGCCACCATAATAGGGTTTTGGAATCCACCAAAAGAGAAAAGCTCTCAAACTTTTATTAAAAAAAAAAAGATATGCCCCTGGACTACAGAGTAAAAGTGTTTAAATAGCCGAACAAAACCCTAAGAAAATACCCAAAGCCCAAAAGAAAAAGGAAAAACACTTACAATCTAAAAGAAATAAAATTGAAAAATAAAAGGAATTAACTCTTTTTAATCTCCTACATCATAATGTGTTTGACAAATAGGATTAGAGTAAATCATAATAAATTATTTGGAATTAAATGTGTTTGGTAGTGAGT